GGGGCAGTGAAGAGGGTGTGCTGCCAGATTTTCGTAGCACTCCTCTCAGCTCCAAAACCTCTCCACTCCTGCCGTCTGCTTTTCTCTCATCAGCAGCTTTTATCCAGAGCGCGCGCCGTTGGCAGCAGCAGCACTGGTGGCAGCAGCAGCAGTGGAGGAGTGAGACATAGCCAAGTGCCGCACCTTTTGTTCAGAACCAGCCGCATGGGCAGCGGTGGCAGCGATGGCAGTGGTGCCAGTGGTGCTTGCATCAGTTGCAACGTCAATGTCAGCTGCAGTGGTGAGTGCAGCTTATCCTATCGCAACCAAGTTCCCTCTATTTGTTGGTTGTTCAATGCTTTTGTCAAGTGTCTCAAATCTTACCCGTCTCCCCTTACACATGTCTATGTGGCTTGGCTCGTTCTCTTGTCTTACTGTATGCAGTTATCATGATCCCCTCGCCTCGCTCTCCCCCCTTCATGGCCAGGATGATGGCCAGGCCAGCACACAAGGAGTTGTGAGTCCATCAGACCAACCAGTTGACCTGGAGCACCACGCCTGGAGCACCACGCCTGGAGGAGCACGCGTGAAGTGAAGGCGTGGCGCAGGAGTGGGAGAACAGCGAAAGGAGCATGGTACGTGCCAGGGGGTGCTTGCAGGGGGGGCGTGAACTTTCATAGGGTGTCGCCGCGCAGAGGCAAGAGTCGTGTCTGTTGCTTGTGGGTCCACCACTCGCCACCTGCTGCCTCTAACCTTCTTCTATGTGTGTGTGTCTCTCTCCCCCCATGTGTGTGTGTCTCTCTCTCCCCGTGTGTGTGTGTCTCTCTCTCCCCGTGTGTGTGTCTCTCTCTCTCTCCCCGTGTGTGTGTGTGTGCATTGTGGCCTGTGAGACGGAGAGCAATGGCAGCACGGGGACGCCTCAAGTGAAGGTGTGGCGCAAAACTGGGAGAGCAGCGGAGTGAATGTGGTACGTGCCAGGGGGTGCTTGCAGGGGGGCCGTGAAGTGAGTCGCCGCGCAGAGGCAAGAGTCGTGTCTCTTGTTCATGTTTCTGCCACTCGCCTCCTCTCCTGTTGCTCCTAACCCTCCCTTGCCGCTTCTGTGTGTGTGTTTTCTATCCCCATGATTGTGAGGAGGTGGGGGGGGGGGGTGGAAGGGGGGGGTTGGGAGGGGGAGAGTAGGGGTGGGTTGGGGGGGCGGTGCCTGTCCTTGTGTGCGTGTGCATGCCTGTGAGTGTGTCTCTCAGGCTCCGAGCCGTGGAGTGCGTTGTGAACAACATCCGTTGCTTGCTTCTCGAAGACAAGAGGTAACCAAGAGTGAGGATGCAGCAGCAGGGTGAATGCATTCTCCGTTGCGTCTTGTCTCAGCCCCATCTCTGGCTGCTATTTACCATTTCTTCTGGCATGTTAATACTCTTTCCAGCTGGCATGTCAACACTCTTTCACATCCTCAGCCTCTCATCCACTCGCTTCTCCTCTCCTTGCGCACGCCACTCTTCAAGTTCCTCTCGTCTCTCTCTCTCTCTCCATCCTTCCTCCCCTCTCTCCAGCACTCAAAGGGGAAGTGGATGCAGAACGCAGGGATCACCAGTGAATGCAACAACTGCAGGATGAGTTGTCCACTCACAACTGCACACAAGTACTTGTGAGTGGACCATATCAACTGGCATGCCACTTCGCCATTCTCATTCCCTGTTGTGCCCTTCTTTCTTGTCGGCCATATTTTTACAGTACCCATACGTCTCTGCTACTGTGTTGCTAGATGTTCATGCCCCTCTGTCCGGCTCTCAAACCCCTCCTCTCCTGCCCTCTCCTCTTCTCTGTGTTCCTCTCTTCCATCACCCGTACGGCAGCACCTATTGTCCTGCACCAGCAGCATGGACAGCAGCACTTGCAGCAACAGCAGCAGCAGCAGCAGCAGCAGCAGCAGCAGCAGTGGCGGTACGTGCCAGGGGGTGCTTGCAGGGGGGCCGTGAAGTGAGTCGTAGGGTGTCGCCGCGCAGAGGCAAGAGTCGTGTCTGTTGCTTGCGGGTCCACCACTCGCCACCTGCTGCCTCTAACCCTCCTTTATTGCGCTGCTTCTGTGTGTGAGTCTCTCCCCCCATGTGTGTGTGTGTCTCTCTCCCCATGTGTGTGTGCCTGGTGGCCTGTGAGACGGAGAGCAATGGCAGCGCGGGGACGCCTGAAGGGAAGGCATGGCGCAGAGCAGCACTCCTCAAGTGAAGGCATGGCGCAGGAGTGGGCGAGCGGCAGACGGAGCGTGGTACGTGCCAGGGGGTGCTTGCAGGGGGGCCGTGAAGTGAGTCGTAGGGTGTCGCTGCGCAGAGGCAAGAGTCGTGTCTGTTGCCCTTGCTTCCGCCACTCGCCTCCTGCTGCTTCTGACCCTCCCTTGTTGTGCCGTGTCTGTGTGCCTGTCTCTCTCTCTCCCCATGCGTGTGTGTGCCTCACGTGTCCTGCGAGACGGACGGGGATGGCAGCGAGTGGACGGGGACTGTGCATGTGCGTGTGGGGGGGAGGGGGGATGGGGGAAAGGGGGGTGGGGGCGTGCATGTGTGCGTGTGCGGGTGTGCATGGCTGTGAGTGTGCCTCTCAGGCTTCAAGCTCTGGAGTGTGGCGGATTGCTCTTTGTGAACCTGCCTGCCCTTCGGTGGGGACAACACGGTTTTGTTATCTTTCAAGGCAAGAGGTAACTTGGAGTGAAGATGCAGCAGCACGGCGAATGCACCGTGTGTTGCTTTTTGTCCTAGTCCCTTCTCCAGCTTGCATCTGCTCTTTCACATCCTCACGCCTCTCTTCCTCTGCCTTGCCATCCCTTTTCCCCTCACCTCCCTTCTTTTTGTTGTGCCATACTTCTACGGAACCCATACTTCTCTGCTACTCTGTTGCCAGATGTTCATGCCCATCTGCTCGGCTCTCAAACCACTCCTCGCCTGCCCTGTCCTCTTCTCTGCTTCCTCTCTGCCATTGCCCGTACGGCACCACCTATTGTCATGCACCAGGAGCATGGACAGCAGAGGTTGCAGCAGCAGCAGCAGCAGCGGTGGTGGTGGCAGCAGCAGTTGCAGCCTCAACGGCCACTGCAGTGGTTGAAGCTGCAGCAATGGAGGGGTAATTACAGTCTACCCTATGCTTCCAAGTTCTCATTATATGTTTGCTGTTCAACATCACTTGCGTTCTTGTCTAGACTCCAGTACCTCATTCGTTTCCTGTCATTCTTCTCCTCAGCCCTCCCTCCCATCTTTCTTTATCCTAATGTAATGGTGCCCTCGCCTCCCCGCCTCTCCCTTCACACGTCCCTTCCATCCTGTTGTTGTTGCGACTTTGTTTTTCTCCCCTCTCCATGTCCATTGCTGTTTCTGGCAGCATCCGCGGGGGAAGCAGTGGCAGCAACACTACTGCTGTGTAATCTACATGGTAGGTGTGATGGGAGATTCTGCAAGGGGAAGTTGCTGACCTTGTTATCGCACATTTCTCAAGTAGTGCTCGTCTTTTAATACAAAACTACTCTTTGCCGTCTGACCATCTTTACTTCTGCAGCTACTAAGCGGCTCCTCCTCTTTCTTTTTGTTCCTTTCATGTCCCATTGCTGTCCTGAATCCTGATGGCAGCTTCTCCTCGGGAGTGGCTCTTCTATGGTGAAGTGCAGGGCGAAGTAGAGGACATGTGGGCTGCCGCTTGCTGATGGCCGTGGGTGCACTATCAAGAGCTCAAAATGGACCACTGCTGTGCCTTGCTTTGAATTGCATATCTGTGCTTAGGTGTGTGCCGAATTTGCTTAGGTGTGCTTAGGTTTGTTTAGGTGTGTTGTGCCGTGCTGTGGTGGGATGGGCGTGCATGTTGTGGAATAGGTTGGTGTGGTGGGGTGGGCAGGTGCCTGGGCACAAACACCCAAGCAGGACGGAGTGTCCTCCTTCAGGTGCTGTGCCATACGAGGCACCCGTGCAGGGATGAGAGCGTGGAAATGCAGGGCAGGGCACTGAACATGCGGTGCATGCAGTGTGCATGCACATACAGAAAAGGCCACCACTAAGAAGCCATGAGACGAGCAAACCCCTGTCGCGTGAAATTGTGGGTGGCAGGGACTGACAGGAGGGAGCAGGGCTATCACAGATTGCGCAGGAACTGCAGTGCAGAAATTGTCAGATGTCACGTACCGTAGCAAAGCAGCAAAGCAGCCAACCAGCCAACAAGCCATCTGTAAACCAGCCTACCCATCAATAAAACCAACACTCCAGCCAAACAGCCTATCCCAGATCCTTGCATCCTACTTACCTCAAGCTTCAGCATGTCATCTGTATGTTGGCAGTGGGTGGGCCCTACTCAGTTGTGGATTCAAAATACACTCTCCATAATGGCCCATGACTGCATTTGCAGCTGCCACAAACCAGATCTCATGCCTACAGGCTACATACAGGACCAACATTATCCTTTCAGCACTCCACATTTTTAACTCCATGTTCCGCAATCAGGCTTGGGAAGCAGGTACACAACAGAAAAACCTTACCCACCACCGGGCTTGGGAAGCGGGTGGACATACAGCGAGCAGTTTGAAGACCTAAACACCACCAGGAAGACCTCAACACTAGCACCATTTTCTAACAAAGTATGCTTTGTTTCTCAGTTGCAACTACCGTATGTATGACAAGCAGCTGTAAAAACATTGGGGCGAGAAAAGGGCGTGTGGAGAATTATTGTTGCGTGGGTTGACAATGCAGGTATGTTGCTACCAGAACTGACTGGTATGTTGGATCAATCATGGCTTCCTGTTTGCTTGAATATGCTCGTTAATCAAATAACCCCGAGAATCTCACAGCTGGCAGCAGTAAGAGTTCTGCGGGAACACGGAGCACGACGAAATCAATCACTGCTCAGCCACCAATATTGGCCTTGATTGAACTGCCCGTGTATAGAATAGTGGTGCCCTCCTCGAGTAAAGAGCACGTGATTCTTGGCATTTGATTTGACCGGGCTGCTTGCTCGCACTCTCTCTCCCTCCATGCGTGCCGGTGCCCATTTCTTGCAGCCTATGTTGAGGTTGGCGGTCCAGCGAGGACAAACGAGGCCATCTCCTCCACCCCTGCTTCTCGGTACAGCCCTGCCAGCTGCTCACGCGTCTCGTCCCACGTGCCCTCTGCTGCTGCCACGTCCAGCAGAAAGGCTGCCTGGTCCAATGCCACCTGCAGTCGTGTGGTTGGGCAGAGACAAGAGGGATGGATTGGGCAGAAGCAAGGAGCAGGGAAGTGATGAGGAGAACATCCCCAAGCACTAGCAGCAGCTGACTGCTGAGTGAAGCTGACCTGCACCAACTGCCTCTACTGCTTCTGCACAATCATTTGCCGCTGGAAAAGAATTCATGCTCTCTAGAATTAAATGTTGTGAACGTTCAACTTGCTGTGCTGTGCCCTTTCGCCTGGTTTATTGACATCACCACAAATGGCTCACCCGTCTCCCACGCACCCACCCTCCGCACGCACCCACCCTCCCCACGCACCCACCCTCCTCACGCACCCACCCTCCCCACGCACCCACCCTCCCCACGCACCCACCCTCCTCACGCACCTGCGCCTCCGCCTTGCCCTTGTTGACGTCCTCCTTCCTGCCCTCCTCTGTCAGCCGCTCCAATGCATACTCCAGCTGCGAGTCCCCGTACCCCGCCAGCTCCGCCACCTCCTGCTCGCACACGGCACACGAATCAAAGGGATTGGGTGGACCGAATACAGAAGCACCAGAGGGGGTTTCCTGGTCGGTCGTGCCTGCCGCACTCACCTGGTATGGCCGGCGGGCCTGCTGCACTCACTGGTACGGTCGTGCCTGCTGTGCCTACCTGGTATGGCCGTGCCTGCTGCACTCACCTGGTACGCCAATGCCTGCTGCACTCACCTGGTACGCCCATGCCTGCTGCACTCACCTGGTACGCCCATGCCTGCTGCACTCACCTGGTACGCCCATGCCTGCTGCACTCACCTGGTACGCCCATGCCTGCTGCACTCACCTGGTACGCCCATGCCTGCTGCACTCACCTGGTACGCCCATGCCTGCTGCACTCACCTGGTACGCCCATGCCTGCTGCACTCACCTGGTACGCCCATGCCTGCTGCACTCACCTGGTACGCCCATGCCTGCTGCACTCACCTGGTACGCCCATGCCTGCTGCACTCACCTGGTATGCCCATGCCTGCTGCACTCACCTGGTACGCCCATGCCTGCTGCACTCACCTGGTACGCCCATGCCTGCTGCACTCACCTGGTACGCCCATGCCTGCTGCACTCACCTGGTACGCCCATGCCTGCTGCACTCACCTGGTACGCCCATGCCTGCTGCACTCACCTGGTACGCCCATGCCTGCTGCACTCACCTGGTACGCCCATGCCTGCTGCACTCACCTGGTACGCCCATGCCTGCTGCACTCACCTGGTACGCCCATGCCTGCTGCACTCACCTGGTACGCCCATGCCTGCTGCAATCACCTGGTATGGCCAGGCCTGCTGCACTCACTGGTACGGTCGTGCCTGCTGCACTCACCTGGTACGGCCATGCCTGCTGCACTCACCTGGTACGGCCATGCCTGCTGCACTCACCTGGTACGGCCATGCCTGCTGCACTCACTGGTACGGTCGTGCCTGCTGCACTCACCTGGTACGAGGCCCCCAGAGTCCACCAGGGGGACTTGAGTGCAATGCGCGCTGCATCCCTCGCCTCTGTTGGCCTTCCAACTCTGAGCCCATGGACGGAAGGAGGAGCGATGGGGGCACGGAGACAGATGGAGGGGCGAAGGGAGACAAAAGGAGGTGAGAGGAAGCTTCAGCAGTGCGAAGCATGGGTAAGAACCTCCCTTACATGCTTCCTAACAACCTCTCTCAAAACATGCTGTCAGGTCTGCTGGCTCTGCTCCTGTAACAGTCACCCTGACAGCCACTCTGGCTTCACCTGAGCAGCAGCTGCGCGTTGAAGGTGAAGGGATGTGCGAAGCCCGGGAAGTGCTTGCGCGCATAGAACTCCCCCGCCACCAGCGCTGACACCTGCGGTGACGCACAAGCACGTGAGGATCAACTTCTGTGATCGAATGCGTGTGTGCAAGGAAGGGGGGAGAAGAGGGCTGTGAGAGGCAGACAGCTGCTGGAGGAGGAGGGCCGACAGTCTAGGTATGCACCGTACCTGGTCGCCCTGCTCCACCGTACCTGGTCGCCCTGCTCCACCGTACCTGGTCGCCCTGCTCCAGATGCCGCAGAGCCAGCCTCTCAAGGACGTCCGGAAACATGCCCACCTGCCAGCACCACTCGTGAAGAGGGGGAAAGGGGAAGGGACGCAGGGATGGAAGTTGAGGGAGAGGACAAAAGAGAAGATGGAACGAGGAAGTTGAAAGTGCAACGAAGGAGAGTGAGCGGAGCTGCACAAAACATGCTGCACACATACCTTGGTGGTCAGATAGGCGTCAAGGGACTTGGCCTTAGCCGCTGCAAAGTCACCACGCGAATACAGCCTGCGCCCCTCCTCCCCTGCAGCTTCCCCCACCCTCCCCGTGTCCCCCTCCGCGCTGCCCTCCCGCCCCCCCACGTCCTCCTCCACGAGCGCCCTCTGAATGTACTCGTCCGCCTGTGGGGGGCGGGCGTAGATGGGGGTGGGGGGTGGCGGGAGGGAGTGGGGGAATAATGGCAGTAGACGTGAGTGATGAGATGAGACTACGTCAACTACATTGCTGATGCTCCCGAAACCCCTTCCAACACGCCATGCCATGCCATGCCCATCATCAACGCCTGCCATGCTGCCGTGGCTACTCACCGATCGTGCAACCAGGACGCAGCCGCCGCCCTCTCCCACCCGGATCACGGGCATCTGCATGCTGACGTGGACAGAGCACAGGGGGAGTCAGCATTGTGTCCACGCGAAACACATTTGGAGGGAAAGGAGGGGAGGGAGACGAAACGCTAATACGAAACGCAGCACTGATACTGACGAGCAGCGCGCCGAGCCATGGGAACGAGCGCACTTACCCCGGGGGAGCGGTGGGCCAGCGAAGCAGCGCCGTCACGGTGCCTGGGGGCGCGCATCGGGTGGGGGGAAGGGGGGGAGGCGGGGGTGAACACGGCGGAGAGTTGCTCATGGCAGATGGCGGCTGCATGCAGTCGTGGAACCAACGGCTCCGTATGAAGCACAGCCGAAACAGACATAAAGCTTTGCGACGGAAACGGTGGAATCGCGAGGAGTGGGACTCGCGGCATCACGGGGGTGAGCGCGAGGGGACCGCTTTCACGCTTTCCCTGCTCTGCGAACCGCAAGGGCCGCAAGGCGTCCAGCGCTTACCAGTGGCTGGGTTTCGCGTGAGTGGGATGGCCAGCGGTACCATGCCCCGGCGATCAGCGGGGGACACGGGCTGCTCGCCTGCGCGTTGATGTCGCGAGGGGCACGCAAGGGAGCCGGGAAGAGAGGAGGGACGATGAAGGACGAAGCAGGTGGAGTGGTGAGCGGGAATTGAACGGCAGCATTGCATGAATTTAAAGTGAAAACGGGAAATGACCATGCAAGGAGCCTCAATGGCGGCAATGTGGTACCCGGGCCCATCAATCACTCAAGGCGTGCCCGAATTCGCTCACCTTGCGCCTGGAGCACTCGAATCAGCGCGCTCAGCAGCGGCGGAGGATCGATCGCCGCGACGTCGCGGAGGAAGGCGGCGTGGTCTGTGCGGAGGAGAATGATGCAGTACAACGCAATGATGGTCGAAGGAGAATGCGATGGCGATGAAAGATGGAACAACTAATTCAATCCCGCGAAGGATCCGGGTATGATGGCGGAAGGAGAATGCCATGGCGATGACTGAAGGGGAATGACTGGACGGGCAATGGACTGAAGGGATAACCGACAGTAAGCGAATGACCGTACTTCGGTCACTGTACTTAAGTCGCTACAGGATGTTCGACGCACTCGCAATGCGAATGTGAGCGTCTGAGAACCCATCCGCACCTTCCGTTGCCACTGATGCTCGACAGTTATGTCTCCTCGTAGCGCCATGGCGGCCACGTCGTCTCACGCCGTCGTCACCGCCGCGTCGCGTCGCGACGACGAATCTGTCTGAGTACCTCGAGCTCGCGGAGAGAGCAACGGCCTTAAATACAGGTACATGTGACGCTGCGATTGGACCTCTCTTAGGCTCTGGATTCGAGTGCGATGTTAGAGTAGCCGTTGACGCGATATCGCGTGCTAGCTGACCTGTCGCAATGGCTGCCATGACTGGTTTCCTGCTGACTCGTGTATCTAGAACTCGAGGTCGCCGGAAACTGGATAACGGCGGCGCTTGATCGCCTTAATTAATCTACAACCCGATAAGTGATCGCCTCAAGGAATTTCAAGTACACAGCGAGCCGCGGGTACTGACAGGATGGAGGCGGCGAGCAGGGAGCGGACAGTCACTAGCCAATGCTGGTCAGTCCGCTTGCTCGGACACGGAGAAATGCTGGCCAAGGGTGGGAATCTCGAGGACGGAAATGTCGAGGGTGAATCTGCGATGCTGCGAACTGGCGAAGTGCCGCAACCGTGGTGGTAAGCCACTCAAACAAATAGGAGTGGTCTGCTTCAATCATGTGCGCTCGCAAGAGAACCTCAATTGAAAATATGTTCAATCTGTTACCGCGGTTTCGTGAGCCACCAAAACTTTCACGAAATCAGATGAGTAACCTGTACATCCTTTCGCAAATTTTTTATTCGCAGTGCTATTTCCATCCTTCCCCAATCCCCTCCCCTCTGCCCTCCCACTCCCATCGCCCTAATTTCCTCCCTCGAGCCTCTTTCTTCCTCCTTTTCCTTCCTCTCTAGGACTGTCTTCCCTCACCCCTCCACACTCCACTCAGACTTTCGCAATGGCGCCTCCCGCCAAGAAGGCTGCGGCCGGGTCCAAGGGAAAGAGGAAGCCGCACAACTTCGTGATCGACTGCACGAAGCCGGTGGAGGACAAGATCATGGAGATCGCGTCGTTCGAGAAGTTTCTTCAGGACCGGATTAAGGTCGACAACAAGGCGGGCGTGCTGGGCGACACGGTGAAGGTCACTAAGGACAAGGCCAAGATCCACGTCACCGTTGATGGGCCTTTCACCAAGAGGTGCGTGTTTTCGACGCCTTTACGCTTCATTGGTGTTTGCGTTTTACTGTTATCTCCTATTCGACCATTTTGACAAGTCGCGCCATGCCAGTGTCCAAGTTTGTATAGGTTGTCTGGTAAATTTTCAAATTAGGGAAACCCTAACATACATCCCAACCCCCCCAAAGACCCCTCCACTCATTCATCCATCAGTGCGGCTATCCGCTGCCATGGTCCGGGCTCGCTGTCGATAGTACCAGTTACCTTTTCATTCCCGATTCCGATACTCTTTTTCGAACGTCTAGCTCATCGTGTCGGAGATGGGCAGCGAGCAGCGTCATGGGTCGAGTAGCATAACGTTACCTCCGCAACGCAGTGCGTTGATCGCAGCATTCGTGACTGATGCCGATGTGTTTACGTAGTAGGTGGTCAACTATTAGGCGACTTCGCGGAGCCGCGCATAAGCTAGGTTGTGGTTACACGGAACTGTTGTCAAGTGCCTTGAACCATCTTTCCTCAGAGCGTCGCGTCGCAGAGCAGTCTTACGGGACCTCTAGGGTTTCCAGCCAAACAGGTTGAAGCTAGTCACAGTTCCGTTTATCCCACTGCTAGCATAGGTTCTGTTTCGGTCCTCACGACTTTGGCGACGAGTTCCAGCGAGTAGTCGGGGTGCAGATTTCAGTCACGTCAGGACTTAGTTGAAGTTTCAGGGATGAGCTAGATGTGTTTTTTAACCGGCTTATTCGCAGCAGGGCCAGGGAGGGGGCCAGAGAGATGTCTATTCTTGCCAGCCGTCCACACTTGGAGGGGCTGTGCTCGTTGCAAACCAACGGCTGGATCGTGTTGGAGTGGGATCAGTCATTCAAGTAGAAGGGAGCTGAACACATTGTGTATACCGGAGCAGGGGGGTGCAAGCTAGTTCTACTTCACTGAGGCTAGTTCCTCTAGCGTTTTAATTTCACTGCAACTTATAGCCGCTCATTTCTTTGAACGCCTCACGTCAAGCGTGGCTGCGCGCCAATTGGCGGTCAAATCAGGGTTCAGCGGCCAGATTCGGAGAGCGACTTAGGGATTCGTCGGTTCGTTGGAAGCAATGTCAATGGGAAGCAGGGAGGTGGATTGACTCATGCTAGACGTCCTGGTTACGCTGCGTTGTTTCGCGAAACAACGGCCGGGACGCAATGAAGTAAGGTTGTTGTTTTGAATAGAAAGGAGTTCAACTCATGACGGTGTAGGACGCAGCGTATGGCCAATGGCGCCTGGATGAGGAGGAGCGTAGGAGGACTCTCCTAGGTTCAGTAACCCTAAATCCATTCTAAGGGTAACTTCACCTGCAATCCAAATCAATCTATGTGAAATTCTTCTCGTGTAACTCCTCACACGTTACCCTCCTGCATTCCGTCCCGTCCACATCACGCCCCTGCAGGTACCTCAAGTATCTGACGAAGAAGTACCTGAAGAAGCACAACGTGCGTGACTGGCTGCGGGTGATCGCGTCCAACAAGGACCGCAACGTGTACGAGCTGCGCTACTTCAACATCGCCGAGAACGAGGCCGACGAGGAGGCTTAAATGGCTTAAATGGTCACACGCACCCGTGCTTCACTCGCCGATCCACCTCACTCTCGCACGCCCCCCCACACTGCTGCTGGGCCCACAGGGGCCTGCTGCCGCTGTGCCTCTGCTTGCCTCGCTCCAGCCCCTATTTTCAGGCTGGCAGAAGTCCCTTTCTGCTTTCTTTGTAACAGTTACATTAGTAGCAGTTTCTCAGGCCTCCGAAGCTGTATCTGGTGGAAAGGAATTGCCTGTAAATTGGGTGGAGAGAAGAAAGCAGCGGGTTGCTGAATGTGCCCACCTGATCATCTTGTGTTCAAACGTTAACTTGGCTTACTAACAACTACGCAAAGCAAAGGTGCACAGTGAACAGTCTTGATGCATTTATTAGAAACCATGTTAGCCCTTGATGGTTGGAATCTTCTTGGAGAGGTAACTGTTCCAAAGTCGAGTGCTGCTCTCAGCGAGTATTTAATCCTCTGCAGCGTCTCAGTGGACAGAAGTGGCAGCAGCCCTGCCTACACTTTTCTGCGTCGCCGTGTTTACAGTCCTCCCTAGGCCACCCTTAATTTTCCTGTTCTTCCGTCCTCGATAGAGTCATAGACAACAGTCTCTGCGTCGACCCGCCTCTCCATCCGTCTTCTTTACCTCACCTGCACCTTGCGCTAACTCCCTACTTCCTAGCAACTTCGTGTTCAATCTTGTACCGCTCGTCATCTGGCCACATACCTCTTGTTGAGCAACGCACCACCTCGTGTCACTGAAAATCCCGTCAAACCGCTAAAGTCGCAAGTCTCTTAGCAGTCGTTTTTCCATTCTAGCCGCATATTTCTTAAAGCCGCGGCCAGCATGCCGCTATCCGACGAGCACTGGCGGCGGTTCGGCCCGCTAGCGGCGGGCGCGCTGTTCGGTGCGGCGTGGTGGATATGGGTGGACGCCGTCGTCTGCAATTCCTCCACCGTGCCCTTCCTGCACTACGTTCCAGGTACCGCCTCCCCCTGCTGCGCTACGTCCAAGGTACCGCCTCCCCCTGCCGCACTGCGTCCCAGGTACCGCCTCCCCCTGCCGCACTACGTCACAGGTACCGCCTTCCCCTGCCGCCCTACGTCCCAGGTACCGCCTCCCCCTGCTGCGCTACGTGACTGCGTCCAATCCCACCTTCCCTTTTCCCACCAGCCCCTCTTCCCCCCTTCCTCTTTTGGGCCCCTACCCTCCGCGACCCTGGAGTTCGTTACAGGCATATTCGCTACAGTGGCGGCGATGATCACTGAGGTCTCAGACACCGCGTTACCTTTACCCACCAGCTTCCTTTTGCCCCTTCCACTTCTGTCCCCCACCCTCCGCACGCCTGGGGTTCATGGCAGGCATATTCGCTACGGTGGCGGCGATGATGTTCAACGCCGTGCACCGCGATGAGCTGCATGACTACTCGCCCTACGACGACGGCGCCGGCTGCAGGTCCCCTCCTACCCCGCCCTGCCCTGGTCCCCTCGCCTCCTGCGCTCCTCACCCCGCTGCCCACTCCGCTGCCCTCTCTGCACCATGCTCTCTCTCCCACTCTTCCCCTCCTCTCCTTGTGCTGTCATTTCCCGGCCCTGCACCGCTCACCCACGCTCCTTCCTCCTCCCCCCCTTCTCAAGCGACTCTGGCCCCAATCTGGCATCACACCACAAGTGCACACTAATTGCAAATCGTTCTCCCCCGTCCCCCTCCCCCACCGCCCTCCCCCACACCCCTCCCCCTCCGCCTCCCCCGCCCGAGCAGGTCGCGCACGTGGCTCTTTCTGGCGTACGTCATCGCCTTTGCATCGCTGGCGGGGGCGGCGGGGATGCTCATAAAGGACGCGTCGCCGCCCAGCACGTCCTCGTGGCCCGGCGCTGCAGGCGTCTTCCAGTGCGCCTTCATCATCGCAAGGTGCGCCTTCATCATCGCAAGGTGCGCCTTCATCATCGCAAGGTGCGCCTTCATCATCGCCAGGTGCGCCTTCATCATCGCAAGGTGCGCCTTCATCATCGCCAGGTGCGCCTTCATCATTGCAAGGTGCGCCTTCATCATCGCCAGGTGCGCCTTCATCATCGCCAGGTGCGCCTTCATCATCGCCAGGTGCGTATGTGCTGCCAGGTGCGTGTGTGCTGCCAGGTGCGTGTGTGCTGCCAGGTGCGTGTGTGCTGCCAGGTGCGTGTGTGCTGCCAGGTGCGTGTGTGCTGCCAGGTGCGCTATTTTGGGCGTGTCATGTTCCAATGCGCCTTCATCATCGCCAGCTGTGCGGATTCATTATCTGTCATCTGCCCCTTATCTGCCCGCATATACTCTGCTTCAACCACCCACCTTTCTGCTTACTCGCCCCTGTCTCCCCTCCTCCTCTCCCCTGCAGTGGCCTTGTGTACTGGCTCTCACGCTCCTCAGAGTCATCGCCCTCCTACTTCTGACACCATGCTTGTCATAACCTCATCTGCCCGTCATAACCACCCACTGTTCTCCCTTCTCTCAAGCACTGCTATTGCTGGTCGCCCCATGTGGCTGCTTCCGTCCTCCCACCATCGCCTACCACCTAAGCTGCTCCCTTTGCTGCTCCTGGGAAGGCAAATGCATTGCCTGCTGTTGATGGGATTTGCTTCAGGCTCATCTCATCGTCCTCTTTCGAGGCGCCGCCCTCACTACTTGTACAGACTCTGCTGCGTGTGGTTGTAAAGCTGCTTGTGCATGTTTATAACAAACCAAAGTGGGTTCATGCATTAAGTGCATGTTTACAGTTTAAATTCAAATGCCTAAACGAGTTTGAGTTTCCGATGGGCTTAAAAACTACCCTCAGCAAAACCAATCAAAATCATAGGCGTCGAACTTTTCTTTACACATAACATAAACCAAGATGAAAAATATCTAATATGTGTATTTGAAAATGGGCCACCCGAATATGCAATAACAATCAGGTTGTTTAATGTTTTTTCCCTACACCTATAGGGATTCATGCGCTCTCTGAGCATTTGTCGGCAAAAACGGCCGAAATCATAGGCACCGAACTTTTCTTGGCGCAAGAACCAGGTCGAGAAGACTCTAATAGGTGTATATGAACATGGGCCACTCGAATATGTAATAACAATCAGGTCGTTGAATGCTTTTCCCTACGCCTATAGGGATTCATGTGCTCTCTGAGCATTTGTCGGAAAAAAACGGCCGAAATCATAGGCGCCGAACTTTTCTTTACGCAAAAACCAGGCCGAAAAGGCTCCAATAGGTATATTTGAACATGGCCACTTGAATATGCAATAACAATTAGGTTGTTAAATGCTTTTCCCTACGCGAATAGCGATTCATGCGCTCTCTGAGCATTTGCCGGCAAAAACGGCCGAAATCATAGGCGCCAAACTTTTCATTGCGCAAGAACCAGGCCGGTCCAATATGTGTTTTTGAACATGGGCCGCTCGAATATGCAATAACAATCAGGTTGCTGAATGCTATTCCCAACGCCTATAGAGATTCGTGCGCTCTCTTAGCATTTGTCGAAAAAAACGGCCGAAATCTTAGGCGTCGAACTTTTGTTTGCGCAAGAACCAGGCGGAAAAGGATCTTATACGTGCATTTGAACATGGGCCACTCGAATATGCAATAAGAATCAGGTTGCTGAATGCTTTTCCCCACGATTGTAGGGATTCATGCGCTCTCTGAGCGTTTGTCGGCAAAAACGGCCGAAATCTTAGGCCCCGAAATTTTCTTTGCGCAAGAGCCAGGCCGAAAAGGGCTCTAATAGGTGAATTTGAACATGGGCCACTCGAATATGCAATAAGAATCAGGTTGTTGAATGCTTTTCCGTACGCCTATAGGGATTCATGCTATCTCTGAGCGTTTGTCGTAAAAAAACAGCCGAAATCATAGGCGCCGAACTTTTCTTTGCGCAAGAGCCAGACCAAAAAGGCTCTAATAGGTGAATTTGAACATGGGCCACTCGAATATGCAATAAGAATCAGGTTGTTGAATGCTATTCCCTACGCCAACAGGGATTCATGTGCTCTCTGAGTGTTTGTTGGCAAAAACGGCCGAAATCATAGGCGCCGAACTTTTCTTTGCGCAAGAACCAGGCCGTAAAGGCTCTAATAGGTGAATTTGAACATGGGCCATTCGAGTATGCAATAAGAATCAGGTTCTTGAATGCTTTTCATGCGCTCTCTGAGCGTTTGTCGGCAAAAACGGCCGAAATCTTAGGCGCCGAACTTTTCTTTGCGCAAGATGTCAGAATGTGATGTTTGTGTAGCCTGCAGTGGGGTACTCTATAGCGAGTACAGCCCGAACTAGGGTTTGCTATATGTACTCAACTGCATGCCAGTGAAAATCCCCTCTTTCCTGTTTCTGATTCTTTCCTAACCTTCCGACATGCTATCAGAGCAGGTCGACCCTCCTGGGTCCATCCTGTGGATGGGCCCGCCACCTAATGCTTCCGCTGCTGTCCTGCCTATCGCGCGCCCCGGGCGCGCGACGTGTTCTGCTTGCCGCGCGCTCGGGTGCACGGCGTATTTTTCATCCCGCCGCGCGCTCGGGGCGCGCGGCGGTTTTCTGCCCCGTCGATCCGCACGTCGCCCGCCGTCGCCCGTCGCAGCGCCCCCGGGGACCCGCGCGTCGCCTCCCGTCGCCCGTAGCAGCCCGCAAGGCCTGCGCCAGGCCCGCGCGCGGCCCGTACGGCCTGCGCCAGGCTCGCGCGCGGCTCGTACGGGCTGCGCCAGGCCCGCGCACGGCCCGTACAGCCCGCGCGCGGCCCGTACGACCTGCGCCAGGCCCGCGCGCGGCCCGTACGGGCTGCGCCAGGCCCGCGCGCGGCTCAGGCAGCCCGCGCGCGGTTCGTCCGGCCTGCGCCAGGCCCGTGAGCGGCCCGTACCGTCTGCCCCAGTGCCGCACGCTGTCCCCCGAGCTTCTGACCGTGCCCCACCCCCGCTGCTGCCCGCGCTCCTGTGTTAGGGTTTGGGGGTGGAGAGTATGGGGGTGCCGTGTGTGTGAGCCGTCCCCTGCTCCTCCTCCTCCTCCGTCTCCCGCTGCTGCAGCTGCCGCTAAGGGGGGTGGATGTGTTGGAGCCGTCGGAGTGGTACGAGGGGGGTGGCGTGTGAGCGGTGCTAGTGGTTCAGCAGGGAGTGTGTGAACGGGGTGTGGGACAGTTGGGGAAGGTTGACCGGAGGTAGCCGACTTGTCGTCCGCAGCGCCTGAAGTCCAGGGAGCCACGACCCCCTGTGGCCTGAGTAGTCCGGGGCTCTGCGCCCGGTAGCCACAGTGTGAGCACTCCTGGTAGTCCAGAGAGCCACGACCCCCTGTGGCCTGAGTAGTCCGGGGCTCTGCGCCCGGTAGCTACAGTGTGAGCACTCCTGGGAGCACAGTGATCCAGCTGCGTCTGTCGCCGTGTAGTCCGGGTTTAGCCTGGTAGCGACAGTGCTGCGCACTCCTGCTGCCCGTGTGTCTACAGCTTCAGCCGTCGCCTCCCATCTTCTCGCCCCCACAGTTTCTCCTCCTCCTCACTTGCCCTCTGTGATAGCCTCTAGCTTTGCTTATAATTGTGAACTACTGCTCTGCCTGCTTGTTCTGTTGATTGTACCCCACTTTGACTATGGGGGTGTGTCAGAATGTGATGTTTGTGTAGCCTGCAGTGGGGTAGTCTATAGCGAGTACAGCCCGAACTAGCGTTTGCTATATGTACTCAACTGCATGCTAGTGAAAATCCCCTCTTTCCTGTTTCTGATTCTTGCCTAGTATTTCGATACAAGAACCAGGCTGAAAAGGCTCTGTTAGGTGTATTTGAATATGGGCTACTCGAATATGCAATAAGAATCAGGTTGCTGAATGCTTCTTCCTACGCCTATAAGGATTCATGCGCTCTCTGAGCGTTTGTCGGCAAAAACGGCCGAAATCTTAGGCGCCGAACTTTTCTCAGCGCAAGAACCAGGCCGAAAAGGCTCTAATAGGTGTATTTGAACAAGGGCCACTGGAATATGCAATAAGAATCAGGTTGTTGAATGCTTTTCTCTACGCCTAAATGGATTCATGCGCTCTGTGGGCGTTTGTCGGCAAAAACGGCCGAATTTTTAGGCGCCGAACTTTTCTTTGCACAAGAACCAGGCCGAAAAGGCTCTCATAGGTGTATTTGAATATGGGCCACTTGAATATGCAATAAAAATCAGGTTGCTCAATGCTTTTTGAGAAGAAACGAGGAATGAAATGACTAAGTGAAAGTTGGGTACAAGAAGCAAACACTAGACAACTGTACCCCATATGTGCTACCCCACTATAGCCTACAGTAGCTATGTCATATAAATCTGACACACCCCCATAGGCAAAGTGGGGGAGAACAAGGGGTCACAAGACCAGTCAAGCAAAGCAAAGTAAAAAACAAGCTCAGGGTGGATCACAAAGTCACCACACATTCCGAGCACAAGTTCAAGGCCACAAGGCCAGTTCACAAGCAGGAGTACACATATATATAAAAAAGGCTAGACAAACAAGAGCAGGTATATATATATGTAACAGTACAAGCAAGGTCAAGAGGTGAGCAAGTGAGGCAAGGTAGGCACAAGGCCCAGCTGAGTACAGAAGCGCTGATGGTCACAAGGCGCAAGTGCCTTGGTGAAGATATCAGCAGTGTTGGCCTCAGAGGCCACGTACGCAAGACGCAGCTGACCACGCTGCTGCAGCTCACGAGCAAGAAAGTAGCGGAGAGCAATGTGCTTCGTTCTGTGCTCCAGTCGCTGCTCCCGACACAAGGCCAGCATGGCCTTGTTGTCTACGTACAGCACTGGAGGAGAACGAGGCAACTCTCCGAGGTCAGTCAGCAGGTAGGTGAGCCAGCGAAGCTCCTGTGCAGCCATGGCTCCTGCGTAGATCTCAGCCTCACAACTGGAGCCGAGAACAGAAGACGAGCGAGTAGCCCGCCACGAAACAGA